GTAAGTTATTTTTCTTAAATACTTTAATAGGCAAACACTTTCTTTACTGTTTACATGGTTTAGTTTTTTATGACTTTTATGGTATAATGATTTTCACTTGGACAAATAAGCAGGTCTTTTAAAACATAAAAAACCATAAATGAAGGTTTTATTATTTTAACTCGAAAATTTGTTGTGAAAAAAATAAATGCAGTTTTGAACAGTTAGAAAGCTATATTTAAAACTTATAGTTTTTCAGTCTAAGCTTTTAATCCTGTTTTACCAAAAATTGCACAGAACAATAAAAATCATGCTTCTTGTAAACCTTAGCTAATATTACTTATAGCATTTCAAAAGATAAATATTACATTAAAATAAATTATACAACAAACAAATGTCTTGAATTATATTCAGATATTAAGTTGCTAAATAACAGTAAAAAAGTAGTTATCAATAAAGACCTTTAAACTTTGATCATTTTTTATAGTCTAAACTTATATTGCAACTAAAACTAACATGCTATTAATCACTAAGTTTGTTAAATGTACACGTTTTCTGATAAATATTTAATAAATATCAGTATATAAAATAAAAACATAAAAGTAATACACAGCGACCATAAACAGCTAATCAAATGAAATTTTTTTGATAGCAATTTAACTTGAAATAGTTATTATAAATGTTATAATAACATTTATAATAACTATTTTAAAATAAATCAAAACTACATAATCTTTAGATTAATACTATTATATAAATATATTTTATAAAACTGCTGATGGTTTAACTTCAAATAAATAATTCTGCATGGTAAACGCAAATTATCTATTTTCACGATTTAGAGAAAAACAACTAGCAACTATATTTTTAACTTTGCATCATTTCTGAACTCTACGCAATAGTTGAATTAAGCATTAACCAAATGAAATAATGAAGCTTGTTATAATATTTATCAATAAATTATGAGATTTATATATAAATTATTATTTATATATAAATTGCTTTATGAAGAAAGCAATTTTTAAGTTTGTACTGTATATTAGATTGTCTTAGTAAAAAAAAACTTTTATTTTCTTATATCCTGAGAAAAACAGCATTTTTAATGCTAAAAAATATTTGATTTCTTGCAAGAATCTAAAAAGTAATTTGGTTAAAAAACTTAAAGCACCCAAACATACACCACTAACCTGTTAAACTATTTTGGTCAAAGATCCTTTTTAAACTGTTTCAGTGGCCGTGGCGCAGTGGTTAGAGCGTTTGCTTTAGAAGTAATATATCCAGGGTTCAAATATTCTTGGGGCACCTAAAACAAAAACTTATAAAAAGCAAAAAAACAACAACTTAGAAACATCTAATATTGGCATAGTGATTAATTTTTAATAAAATTTAATCGGATTTATTTACACAATCCAAATATGAACAATATACTGTTGTTATATTAAAAATTAAAACTTGAGTTTCTCTCCAATAGTTAAAAAGTTGCGTTCTGTTTTTGACAATTACTACCATTTGTCGATGCTCAAATGAGCAATTAACTATGGTTTCATTAACAGAAACTCATTCTTGCATGGTTCATCATTAAGCAAAGCCATATCCTAACACTGCTCCGGTTCTGGCATGCTATAAAACTTTTTATTAGTTTATTTTTTTCCTAACCCTTTAAACTCTATCTCATCCCACATTTTCTGATTTGTAGGACACGAAACAAAGAAAGTCTGCGCTGATATTTTAAAGGATAATAATTCAACTACCTTGCTTTGATATTGAATGTAATATATGATTTGAAAGTACATACAAGTAATATTCTTAAAATTCACTTATTGAGTTTGTGAAATTAGGAAATTTCTAATTTAAGTAAGTTTGCGAAGCTGTGTACTCGAGAGAGTACGCACTTTGCGTTTTACAATCAACATCTGGCTTTGGAGGGTCTTTGGCTGGACTTTCTTTGAGGCTCATATTTATTTATTTTGGATGTTTTTAGCTTCATTTACATTTAACCTTAGTTTTCCTTTGACAATAGACCAATATCTTTGATAGGTAAGGTAGATCTTTGATAGGTCTTTTTTATTAGGGGGTAAATCTGGACAATGCAGAGAAATGCAGTATTTAAAAAAAAATATTTATATGGTTTTCAAGCCAAATTAAAGTTATCACTAACTGTTGACATGGTTAAGGTACTCTTAAAATTGGCAAAAGACGCTTTTCTGAGGCATTTTTTGATGTATATTTTGGTGTTAATTGTTGCTGTAGTCACAAAACAAGAGGTTCATTCACCATATTCACAAATTGAATGCCAATAGAAATTTTTAGTAAATTTTTTCCATTCCAATTCATTAAAATTTAAAATTCAGTCTTTTGCAATCAATTGCTTTAAAAAATTAGTGTCCTCGAAGATATCGGATATATATAACACAATAGGTTTCATCATCAATTGTCAAAAAAAAACTTTCAAAACATAAGTTTTTATAGAGCAACTTTGAACAACGAATTACACCATTTTCTTTCTTTTTTTAAAACAAGGAACTTTTTTCTTTTTATAAGGTTTATAACCAAAATTTTGCCTCACTCTTTATTTAGTGGAAGCACTTGTCTTTAATTTATTTGTTAAATTTTAAAAAGGATTTCTTTATTGGGCACCTTACACTTTTTTAACAAGATCTTGTTGAACCGAAACATTTTTTCTTTCATATCCTGACTTTCTTTTGATCGTGTCAGTGTCCTAACTTGTCTCACAACACTCGTCACTTCTTAAAGCAATGTGCACCTTTTTAGAAACTGTTTTTTTGATACACCAGAATTTTCAACCAGAAAACGCAAACTTTATTCTCACTTTTTATTTTAATATGATGACATTTCAATTAAAACTAACTGATTTGATAACATAGTTGTTTAAATTTTAAATAAGACTAATACAATGACATTTTAAAACAATTAATTTTAGTAACGCACGATTTCTGTATACTATATCAGAATACACGGCCTAGCAGAAAATGACTTAATTGATAAGCAATTTGTGTAATCTTTCAAAGTATTAGATATGTATGCAGTGCCGCCTCTAATTCTTCTTTCACTTCAAAAAAGGGAAAATTTCATTTAAAAAAATTAAATTCAAACTAACTTGTTATTACTGGTATTTGTCATTAAATTCGTCCACTATTGACAACTTTTTTAGGCACATTAAAAATAAAAACACAATCGAATTTTTTAATTTGAAATATAACTATTGTAAATTTGACACTTTATAGAAACTCAAATTAAACAATTGTATTACTTTTGAAAGTGGTAGTCTTCTGCCACTTTCAAAAGCAATAATAATTGTTTAATTTGAGTTTCTATAAAATAAAGCATACTTGTGGATTTTATGCATCAGCTTTTCGCGACAACAAATAAAGCTCACTCATCAATTCTTCAACTGTTAATATTCTTTTCCTAATCTTCGGTTAAATTTAAACTCATGTAAACAAAGCTTGTTGTTTAACTAACTTTTATTTGACTAAATTCAAATTTGACTAAACTTAATTTTCAAATAATTACAACAAATTTTAAAAGTTAAAGGTTTTTTTAAGATTTAAATTAAAAAATGAAAATCAGAAATGAAAAATGAGAAATAAAAAATGAGAAATGAAACATGAGAAATGAAAAATAATAAGTAATAAAAAACAAACATGAGATTAAAAATAAAAAACTGAGATAGAGAAATATAAACATTTCTTCCAACAAGTTGCAATTATCTCTCAATATATCATCACTGTCTGTTAATAAAAGTTATATATAGATGCATCCGCTAAATGATATTTGTAATTAAAATTACGCTACAAAATTTTATACACTTTCCTAATTGTTGTTAAACTTACTAATATAAATATTTAAAAAAAAAATAAAAATGCGAATATATAATAAGGATTAAAAATAATAATATAATAACTATGATAATAAAGTTATTTTGATAATTACACTGAAACTGCGCCATTTTGAAGAACTAGCAAATTATATTAACACTAAAATATGCTGAAAATATATGTTACGAATAATGTCGTTTTGATTTTTATACAAGACAAAGTTTATAAATTATTATTGACATAAATATTTTTTATTTTATGCACAATGGAAAAAATAATTGGCACTTTGAGAAATATTATATTCCTACCATTTTGTAATTTAAATTTTCCAAATTTATTTAGTTTAGTTTTTATTTACCATATTTTAAGAAGGTTTGACATTATTAACAATTTAAACATTTTCATAAATTATATTTTCTGTGTTCCTATTTACACTTTTTAAATAGTTAGTTGAAGTAACACTAACGTCAAAATATTTGATATGTCCTGTGAAATCTTTAGATTCTTCTCATAATAAGTATGACCTTTAACAATATTTAAAAACAAAGTCTAATATATCACTATTTAAATTAAACGATAATGGTTTTGTAGCCGTCATAAAAAATGAAATAAGGCAATAAACTCAGAAAACATGTTTTAATTGAATCTGTACTTTTTATGCATGACTAACACAAAAACTTGGTTGTTAATAATTCCTTTGAACACACGTACCTAATAACAGTAATCATTATAAAGTTTTTAGGATCAAGTGGTTTCAGTTAAACGACTTTTAAATGCTTTAATCATTTCAGCCTTCCCTAAATATTATGGATGTTCTTAAGTTATACTTAGTTGGTACAGTATTTTCCACTTGTTGGAAAGCTTTTTGTTTATTTTTCGGATAATATATATAGAACACTATGGTATTTAGAAGCAATAATTCGATAAATACTTTACGAAAGGTTTTGTGATGTGTTCAAACAGATGTGTTCAGCAAAAATCAAAGAAGCTTACTTTATAAACGGATAATATATAGTGTGTATGAAACATATTTGATTGGTAAATTTAATTAATACTATACGGGTTAAAATTTTTCCAAAAACACAAAAAAACATAAATCTGCACCCTACATCACCAAATTTTCTGAAACTTGGCATAAATGTTTAGAGACATAACTTAGGAAAGACTGTAAATTTTTTTTAA